CTATATAATAGTTCCATGAACGCTCACATATTGAAAAGCGTTTTTTGCTTCCCAAAATGATGGTTCTAGTATTTTGAACTCGCTGCTTCATCGGTGTGAACCATTCCAAGTCTAGCTTGCTATAAGGTTGTGTACTTAGTTTCACGAGTCTATCGTCAGTAATGTCCCAGGCAACTTTTCCTCGTTTAATTTTTGTAACGAAATCTGGATGTTCTTCAACCTTTCGGTATATATCTTGATTACTGGTGTATGCTGTTAAGGCAACTTTTTCTTGCGTGTTTTCACGTTTTTTTATTTGAGAGGGCTGCTGCTCGTTTTGTTTATCATGTGGAGTTGTAGACTAGAAATAAAAAGACAACGATGCATATAGCCACAAATCTGCTCACATATATGTCATATTTGAAAGTCAAATTCAGTTCAACTTTCAAATACACACACACCTCTCAGTGTAGATATCACAGAAATATTAGGCTATTAAAATTTGAAACTTCAGTTGAAAGCAATTTTGAAGTTTGACACTACTGACAAAACTAGAACTACTAAAGTACTTTACGATCATGGTTCAACAAACTGTTTTATATTCATCACTGGTACATTTATTTTCTCATGTTATCAACCACAAACTGAAATATATTTTTATGTATGATTGCCGTCCTTCTAATCTCGTGTCGTGGATTATCTAGTATATGATTGACACCAAAAATATTCTCATTTACAATCTACACTCATTAGAGTGATATGTTTAGATCGTTTTCTTTTCGGTTTGCTAGAACTGCTTCTGATATGAGGAAAAACAGTTGGCATTTAATATTTGGTTCCATAAGCAAGTCTCAGCAAAAAACTTGTCAGTGCAAAGCATATGAAGTTTAAATAAGAAATTCATATACAATAATTTGGTTTTGTAAAAACTATTATGTAGAAAAGCGTGTGGCATTTAAAACACAGATCAATTGCTCACCATCGTACATGACCGCAACCCGATTGCTTCCGATAAAAAACCGTCAACAGTTTAGAATGTTCGTTTAAAGCAATCATAAACGAAGCTTGACAGTGTATTAAGATCATCAAAAACAGTCACCATGAAAAATAATTGCTAATAATTAGCGTAACAATACGATGACTCTAAGCGATTCATTAAACGATCGCTGTTTTCTGCTGTATTTGTTCGTAAACTACGGTTAACACCAATGATCTATACTGGTTCAATAGAGTAGAATGCAATGTATTGATTCAAACTATATCATAAGATATGGTTCGCTGATATACATCAGTCAACTCCACATCCGACAAATGTCATTAACCGTTTCATTGGTACGAGAGAATAGGCATAAAGTATAAGTGTATGGGCACTGTGGTACAGCTATTAGATTACATGCATAAAGATATAGGTAAAACGATATAATAATAAGAATATAGCGTGTGGGTGTGATCAAATAGGATTTCACACTCAAACTGACATCCACACCCCACAGAGAAAGAAGAGGATTGTAAGTTCGATGTAAAATTAATTATGTAATTGAGTTGGTATTTTTCACTGGACAAATGAATTGAATTTCTTACCTGTTCTTCTAATCGACGCAGTCGTCTAAGTGTATCTTTATCTATGAACTCTTGATAGTAATAATGCGATTCTTCTAGTGTAAACCAGGATCCATTGTATTTTGGTATCAGCCATCTGTAATTTTCATGTGAATCCACCTGTTTTTTGTCATTGCTGTTGTCATTTTCAGCAGCAAGCGTTTCATCAAAGTTACACCAAGGTTGTTTGTTGCTTATTGGCATTGGAAACGATGCATCGTTTATGTCGCCAGTCAGTGTAAATGGTACTACATTTTGTTTAATAATATTCGTTCGTTTTCGTTGCCAACATTTCACACATAAAAGTAATTCATCTATATAACTTTGTCTTAACAATTTCTCCTCTAAAACAAAAATATACCTAATTTGTAAAAACACACAAACATTTACCATCTCTATACTGAGACTCCCTGTGCTTGACTTTAATTAACCACTCAGTCCGCACATTTCGGTACCAGCTATCTTCATAGTCAATGTCCTCAACAATTTCATTTTCTTCCTGACTTGTACCTTCAATCATACTCGTGCAACTTTTCATCAAGTTTTCCATCTCGTCAGCTGGAATTTTATTTTTTTTCATTAGAATCTTCAAGTATTTATCGTATGTTGCTTTCCGCTCTTCTTGTTGTTCGGTTGTTAGTTGAGATATGCGAGTGAGTTGACGATCATTGGTAAAATATGGCTGGTCAAAGTTATCTTCATTGTCACTTTTTTCTGAAGCCACAGCGCGTGGTTTTACATACGGTTGACCGACTACACCAGGCTTAGTATGACACAACTAAAAGCAGTAAATTTTGTGAAAGAACAGCGTTCGTTTTCAAAACTTACAATTTCAATTAATAATCTGTCATATTCTTGATCAAAATTGTTTGTATCTAATTCGATGGTGAAGTTTCCATTGAACAGTTCATATGAAAGTTGTTTTGTTGTCATTGAATGTAGCCAATTGTTTTTACCACGACACGCTAGTTTTGTTGGCTTGATAAGAAGAATTTTTTTATCACTTGACTTAGCTTCTTTCATTTCGCTAGCATTGCTCAAAGCGTATTCTTCACTGAGATAAAGAATAATTAAATCGCACTTTTTAATAGTTACTGTGTGATCATCACTGGTGTTGGTCGCTACTAAATAACCTTCATCGATGAGACGTTCTTTGAGACGCGAGCATATCTTTTTGTCAAGTTTACAATAACTTAGCCAAATATTATAATATTCTTTGCTTGATGTTGACTCATTTCTAGTCGTTTTTCTAGATGATGTTTTTGATGTGTTAGGTGGTTCTGATTGCATTGTTGAGCCTGCTACTTCGATCACTTTCTGCTTTAATATTTCTGTCATTAAACGATATTTGTCAAAGGCTTCATCGACAGTATCCGTATGACCAGTTAATTCAATGATCTGTTCTGTATTATTCAACGACATTCTTAATATAACATATTTAGTTATACAATATTGGTAAAAAGCGTTGATCATATGTTGAGACCACAATTTCAAATCAACTTGATTTTCTAGTTTTTTCGTTATACAGATAGTTTGCTTAATATAATCCTTTAATGCATTTTGACATTTCTTCCAAACATTATTTCTCGATATCGATAATGTGATTTCAGTGACTAAAAAGAACGAGAGTAAAAATTAAATACATCTACAGCATCGCAAAATTGGTAGATGTATTCGGTTCAATACTATATCAGACAAGTAAACAAAGAAAAAAACATATCGAAATCAATCTAATATCACAGTAATATTGAGCATTATGGCAACACAAAAACATGGATGTCTTCGTTTTACTTTTTATCTTTCCATTAGATCTCACAAATGGCTACATAGATTGGAAACGCGATCGAAAATAAAACTCAATTCCAGATATTGCAACACACTACAACTAACTAAATTCGATTGTTTGAAATCGGACTCTTTATTCTACTGATATACTGTTTCAACTCTTGGAAAAGCCTGATAAAACTTGTTTGTACGATTGTTTAGAAATGTTTTTCTTTTTTTGTTACTGATAAGATCATCTAGAATCATAAAGTATGTCAAATTATTATTACTTACTAAATAACAAGTTTACTTTTTCAACAATTTAACTTTTCATCTAACAAGAAAAATTTATCTTTATATACGTACCTGTGACTGGAACTGAAACTGCAACAAAACCATCTTTCTCATTTTGTTTCGTTGACATAACTGATAGAAATTCTTGACATAATTCAGTCTGTTTCTCATCTTTAGAAAAGACAAATAATATTCTCCATCGACATCCAATTCTTGTTTCAAGTTGATGTTGTATTTCATTTATCATTTCCGAAGCAAATTCTTTTTTATTTGAACATTTTTCCCATTCAGTTGTTGAAAACATGATTGTTTCTAGATGTTCATCTTTAATGTTGCTTGTGATTAATTGTAGAGATGTTGAAACAAATTTTTTAATTTTCTTTTTAAATTTAGATTTTATTTGAACGTCGTCATTATACGATGGAAGATTCCACTGAACAAACACAAACTTTCTACCAGATTGTGTTTCAACAAAAGAATTATCTTTATTGATATCAATATCTTCTTTTATTGCATCTGTTGTTGATGACAAGATAGTAAGATCTACCTAAAACAAGCGAATAAAGAAAGCACTATGAGATGTGATTCAAAAATAATTGTATCATGTTTTACCTTTTGATCCATAAAACGATTCGACATAGTATGAATTTCGATTGATGCATACGAAATTGATACTTTATAAAATACAGATGCAGATGAAGAAAAAAGAATAGATTGATTAGTAATGAACTTTGATTGATGACTAATGGTCGTGATTGTTATTGCTTTTGGAACTGAACAAATTTTTGTTTTGGATTTAGTCTCAATTTTAACAATATGGCAGTTATTGATCAATGCCAAATGCTTCAATTCTAAGTCCTCTTTTGCTGTTAGCGTTCGAGGTGTTTCTGTTTCAACTTGTTCGAATATAATTGTAAAGTTATCAAAAATCATTTGATTAACTAATTCTTTCACTTTTCCGACGAGATACTCGGGTGCTTGAAATTCATTTTGTCTGACGCTTAGTTTGATATTATCATATTTATACTGATTTTCGATGCTTCTCAATTTCTCTGAGCATTCGTCCAACAAGTAATTGCGCTATAAAACAAAAAGAAATAATAATAAAGTATAAAATCTCGCTTCAATCAAAGTGAACTATGCCAATCAATTGCTCTCACCTGAGTCTCATCTATATTAATGTAGAATGTTCTCAGTTGATGCTTATGCATTAGTTGTTTTATTTGTTTTTTTAATATTTTAAGCAGTTGTTTATATCCAAATAAGTTTACTTTCAATTGTGGTTCTTTACAGTAAAGAATAGTTATTTCCTGTTGTTGTTTTTGAATTTCTCGAATGAGCTGATCAAATTCCTGTGAGAATATTTTTGATTTTATATTGGAAATTTGATTAGTTATTTCAACGTAGGAAATTTCTTTAAGTAATATTTGATCAATGCTTTCCACAGATGCACCAAATTGTTGTATGCTATCTTTAAAGTAATAAACAACGTAATAACCTGAAAATATTTCAGTTTTATCCCACACAGTGAATAGTTTGCGATTATCAAATATTTTCTGTATTGTTTGCAAAACACGTTCTGAATAAATATGTGTAGACCAGTTGATCACTGAAAATTAAAAAAATAAGTAATTAATCATGTGTGACAGTGTAAAATAAAACAGTCCAATAACAAATGAATGTCATACCTTTTCCATCGCTCTTGGCATTATTATAGGTTTTAGTTTGCATCGAAGCGAAGATTATTTTCAGAAATTCCTGACAATGTTTCATATTTTCTTTAACATCGCCAATAAGGTTCAAGCGTAAACCGGTTTCTTCATGTTGTTTTTCTTTGTCTTCTACTATTTGACAACTGACATTATATGTTTTTGATAAATACTTCTTTAATTTTGAATGAAATCTCGGATTTTGGAAAAATCGTATGCGAATAGGATCATCAACCAAATAATGCCTATTCAAGACAGTAGAAGGTAATGGTGCTTCAGCTGTCTTCTGTTCTTCGGCCATCGAGCCTGCAACAACAAAAAATGTATAAGTATAATACGTTCGACAAATGTGGAAAAAAACAGATTAAATTTTTACGACATTTTAATCAAGAAAACGAAGTAAAAGTATTTGATAGTTAGTATTTTATTACTCTTCACAAGACGCGACTGCTTTGTACAATGTAAAAATATAAGGATGTGGGGGTTAGTCTTCTTTCTCATACACCCACACCAAGACCTACACTCTCGACATACGCGAGATACATCCACATCCACATCCACACTCTTCATAAACTTCCGCAACAGCTGTGTGTCCCAAAAATAAAAAATAACGTCAATTTGCTGCTGAGCATGTTTGTCTGTTTTCATGGGTTCTAAAAAATTCAGAAATCTCTGTAGTTCTATTCTGGGTGTGGTTGCACGTGTACGTGATGTCATCAACAACAGCTACATCCACAGTCACACTTCTTATGCCTATTAATGATCGAAGTTTTGGTCGTAGAACAAATCGTCACATTGACAAAATTTCGCGCAACAATGTAACCTTTTATCATTTCTTTGATAGTGCAATTGATGTTAAATCATTCAAAAAGTAGAGTATCTCAATTTGGATTTTTTGAAACATTATTTATGGAAAAAGTATGGTATGGCTGTGCGTATACATACCATCAATTTTCTAAACTCTCACACCTCACACTCATAAATAACGCGTCAAAAAATTTAAATCGAAATACTATACTATTTGAATGATATCATATCAATTGCACTGCCAACGAAGTGATAGAAGCTTTTTCTAATATGAAATACAGAGTAATACTTCTTTTTTAGGCAGAAAACATGTTGTAACGTTTTGTCTTTACAATATTCAACTCATGCGACGAAAAGTTCTAGCACCTCCGTACTCATCTATATCAAAGTAAAATTTGGGCAATTGTCTAGATTTGAACGTGTATTACGATTTGACTTATTTGGAGATCAATATGTCTGTTTACTCGAAGAAGATAAGGTTACCAACGGATTGGAATATTTCACTGCTAATTCGGTCAGCGAATTAATCTTACTGAATATTTTTATGTAATGTCAAGAATAATTCAAGAAAAAAAATAGAATAAGTCGCATAGAGTTCTCGGTTTTTTTGCTGTAACGTTGAAAATGAGAGAAATATTGTAGTGACGTTCGCCTAGTAACGCAATGTTTTTACGGCTTATGTGTTCTCTTGTTTTTTTAAGATTGTCTAAAATAACATCTGACAAAGTTGCAATAGAATTATTTTTTCAGGGGATTGACGGCATTGTCAAAAGAAATGTTATATTTTTAAACTCAATGATGTAAAATAGAAGTGCAGGAAGAAGAGAACAAAAAAAAATCCACTCACTTGACTACACTGTCATCCGACTTTTGGTTGATTGAGACAAAGAACATTGATATTTTTTTTTCAACATTGAATGCGTAAAAGTTTTTTTAATCGAGTTTTTTTTCAACTTTTATGTGGCCAAAAGTAATGCAATCTTTTTCTATTCAGTAGTGTATCGCGCAAAACTGTAAGAGAAGACGAGTCAGCGATATTTTGAAAATCATTGTCGTCTTTTTCGTATGATTGGATTACCCAAATAGATACTTACTGTAATTATATGTACACGATTCACTAAAATAAAATGGGTTTTGGTTGGTGTCGAGTTGGTCCCCGATCTGGGTCTGAAAACTTTTTGTCAACTGGGTTTGGATATGAACATTTCGGACCCAATGGGCTCTAATTATCCGACAAATGTGAAGGATGCATTTGTTACCGAATACAAAAAAATCAGAAAAAAGTATCTCGTATCTCTGAGGCGACTATCCCATTCTGACTAGAACTTTTCATTGAGAGTATCAAAGTACGATTCGATCAGACCCCAGTCCGGATCCAAGAAAGTTCTATTAACCAAGTCTGGGCTTTATTCCAAGAACTTCGATCCCGACAGATTCTGGTGTGAGTGCGGGTGGTCTCATTATTCACATCCACATTCCACATGAACCACAACTTAAGTACTAAGTCTCAATGATCTAAGTTACTACACAGTACATCAAAACTTGAGGTTTCTTGGTAGTAGTAGATATAAGGACTTAATATGCGACTGTTTTTCGACTTGGGAATATTCCCTCTTAAACTTTATTTCATTTTGCATTATGATATCTAATAAACTAGCAAGCATTGTCATTCTTAAATTACTATTCTAGATATATAATGACTGAAAAACAAGAATCAGCTGAAAAAGCCCCTTCTTTGATTACTACCGAAGATTATCTAGTTGATAATCCTATTCGAGTGAAATTCTTGAAAAATGAAAAATTCTGTTCTAAGTTAAAAGGATATTTGAAAGAAATGTTTGCAGTCGAAATTGAAATCAAACAATCGCAAATCGGTAATGAACAAGATATTTACAGAATTCAAATTTCTGGTGAAGTCACTGAACGTGTTCAATCTTGTCGGAATGAAATAGAAAATCTATTTTTATCAATTCAGACAGAAACATGTGCTGACGAAAAAGGTAAAACATTGTTCAGATAGTTTATTTCGTTTTGTTTTATGATATAGCATTTCATATCATATAATGAAAAGCATTTTAGAAACGATTGTTCACATCAATACTTACTCGTATTCTTTATTCAAAATTGAATCAGTAACTATCTGTCAAAATGAAGTATTTCTTCTTCATTTTAGTACAATCATTTCTCACGTACCATCCATCCGCAGTTGATATTATCCAACATATTCTGAATCACAAAAAGGAATTTGTAGCGATTGAATTCGAAAATGACGAGCAATTTTTAATAAATTATTTTCAATTTAAAAAACCGTTTTATATTCATGATATTAATGAAACTATCAAGAATCACATATTAGAAGACATATTAATTGTACCATCTCCTTCTGAGCAAACAATAAATTTTTCAATAGAGTTACAGACGAAGATCGAGCAAGATCAAGAAAAGAAAGGTAGCGAAACAATGATTTCAATTCGTCTAATTGATATGCTCAATAAAAACGTTACAAGACGCATTAAACAAAAAGGACAACAACAATTGAGGATATTTGGTTATCATAAAACTGTTCACGAATTAAAACGTCAATACCAAGATTTCTTCAACCGACATCAACTGCAAGTTTTCAATATACAAATTAATCCGGCACAAGTGAGTATACAGAATTTAAAGTTCAGAATATTGCATGAAAGTTGATTTGATTGCATATAAGTCGTCGCGTACCTTATGAATAACTACAAAGATCCATCACACATTTTTAACGACAAAATCTGGAAATAGTTGAAAGAGTTACATTGAAGTACTGAGCTAAAATACAGGTTGCAATAAGTTATTAGCAGAAAATTAATTGAGTTGATCTACTGAGGAAATCCAAATATTAAGAAAACTATTTCAAGCACCTTTAACTGAGACTTCAACTCGATTCTAGTCTGATAGTTTTTCTGAGCGCCACCTAATAATAAGTGAAAGTTGCTTACCCTAGCCTGATCCATCGTTGAGAGAGAAAGAAAAAATATCGATTTCATTAAGCTATTGTTTATTAAAACAATAATGAAAACAACCTGTGAGGCAAAGACATGAACTTCACCTGCATAATTAGTCGTTTCGTAAGCTGACATGGAAAGATTGCACAGAGTTATAAACTTTAATGACAAAATCAAACTTTTTAATGGATATTATCTTTTGTTTTGCTTTTCGAAGATGGATTATCTACTTTACATGCGTTCAAGAGAAGTCAAGCAAATTGAAACAAAATATAAAGCTGATGGTGTAAGTCTGCAGATCAAATCACAAAAATTTGTAGCACCAGTGTATTTAAAAGATGAAATCAGTAAACAAATCAATGATTTATTATTGAACATGAGGACAGCAAAATTTCAAACAATCGAATTATTTCAAGCAATCGCCGAAAGAGAAGTTGAACGTTTGAAAAATATTGCACGTCGCAATAAGTGTCATATCAATAAATATGAATTAGAGACGGATAGCTCTAAATTATATATCGTACCGAAGGTGACAAGTTCAAATGCTGACGATAGAACCTCGTCCAAAGTTTTGCGTGAACAATCCGATTTATTTTGTTCCTCAACTGGTGTGATTAGAAAATTCACACTAAACAATGGATCAATTAGTGTTTCTATTGGAGATATTACCAAGAAAAAGGTAAATTGAATAGTCTCCAATGATTTTTCTGAGAATAGCAGTAAACATTTGCAGTATATAATTTTGATTCAGGTAAAATTTGAAGAATGTATTCGATTTTTTTTTCGTACACATAAATTTGAGCCTATGTAACGCAAATCTGAAGAAAGAATAGAAGTCACGGTTTTTAGACTTACTCAATGGTTCTTTGGCAGCTAGTAATAGAATAAGACGTGGATGCATTATCGTTATGACCTATTTTACATTACACATCTTTAGGTAGATGTAATTGTTGTATCATCGACATCAAATGGTCTACGCGAAAGAATTATTGAACAAGCAGGTCTAGATGTTAACTCATTGAAATGCGAACCCAACCAACAGAAATCGAGTGTAAGATTTATTGAAGCAACCTCAGGACAAGCGTCATGCAAAACAATTTTATTCTCAAATTGGACACCGCCGATGAACATAGACAATGATGGTTTCAGAAGATCAGCACAAGTCTTTATTTCAAAATCAATTCAATATGCTATTATCCAATTGAAAGCTGAATCAGTGGCTTTCGCTCTTCCTGATTTATACGATAAGGAAGACATTTTGGTTGATGCTATATTTCAAGAAACAAGGCATCAAATTAAAAGATCATCAACTTGTATTGTATCATTCGTATTTTTATCTGATCAACAAACTTTATTTGAAATGTTTTCGAAAGAAATGGAAAAACTGCAAGATGTCTTACAGTTTTCGTTTCCAACAGCAAGTAACTAATCAAATATAGATATGTTATATATATAATGATTTTTCTCTTAACTTCATTTTTAGCTATGCAAATTAATCTATTAAGTTCTAGTAGTAAATCTTTGAAAAAATGCAGAAACAAAATTAAAAGTCATCTCGACCGATTGATGATTAAGTCAAAATTAGAATTCAATGATGATAATAGTGCTTTTAAAAAATGGAATCAACACATGATTAATGCATTTTATTTGTATTGTAAAGAACGATGTGTTTTAGCAATAACATTAACGAATAATAGTCAAGTAATAGAATTATGTGGACCATCTCATGGTATTCAAGAAGTTAGAGAAAAATATAGAGTAAGTTATGTATCAATCCTGCTAGTTTACAGAGTTAAAACATTTTACTGTCTTTTCAGATTTTAGATACATTACAAAAACAGAAGTTACAAATACAAACAACCTTTCAATCTAATTCTGTCGTTCGTCGTCGCCCATTGACAGCTAGCAGCGCAGTAACAACAAATACCAAACGTTATAATATCTTGCTGAGTTATTGTTCGAAAGATCAAGCTCGATGTCAACGTTTGGCCAATCGTCTTATTGATGATGGTTTCTCTGTATTGATGGTGGACAGATCAACGACAAGGATTAAAATCGACACATATGATTGTATTATCGTATGCCTTAGTCAATATTCACAAGAAAATGATGAAGCAATCAAGAATGTCATTAATGAATCTGGTACAAAAATCATTTTAGCGAAAGTTCAGTACTTTAATACATCAGTTAGTGGTTGGTTACATGATTATTTAATTGGCAAATTATGTTATTACTTATATGGATCGGACAATTATTTCAACTTGGAATATGATAAAATAATGCTAGAAGTGGTAAGAATACTTTTTTTGTGTAACACGCAATATAAGGCACGTCTATATTGTGACTCTTTGCTAGTTAAAAATTACCAAACCTGGTCATGTGTCGTTGTTGCAATCAACCATAAACCATACAGACGAGTTACAGCAAATAGAACAGCAACGAAGGCATATGTACGATAAAAGACTTAAAAAGCTGACGAAATTGGGAAAAATACCCGATGATGATATGAAGAATTCAATTGATATATTACATGCTATGATCAATGAAGAAGAAGCAAAAGGCAACGAGAGAACAAATGAAGCGATGAAAAACGACAAACGAATAAGTTAGTTTATTGAAAAATATTATCTGTTTATGAACTTTCTTTTCTTTCAAATATTTCCAGGAAAAGAGTCTATCAATGATATACAGCATCTTGTTGACATCTCTCTTTTATTATATCGACGTTGGTTGAAAAAAGCACCTAATATAATCAAGCAAAACATACCACCTTATACGTTAACCGGTGATATTAATGATGCAATATTTCCAATGCCTGATGATATGCGCACAAATCCAGAGCAATTCATAAAACGGTACTTTCTAAAATATTCACCTTTTAGTACAACAAGATATGGATCGTATATGATAGGTGAAATGTCAAGGATAGCATCAAATCCATATGGAAAAATTCCAGATAAACAATTACAACTTGTTCATCGCACATTTGGAATATCGTCAACTCAAATGTCTCAACAAAATGAACAACTAATTTCTAAACGTAGTTGCGTTTTCTCTGCTAACATAAAACTAGTGAATGTATGGGCAAATGTTGGATTTATTGGTTCAAAAACGAAGTCTGAAAATGAAATGAAAAGGCGTCAGCAGTTAGATGAAAATGACTCTGTTATGCAGGAATTTAGAGATATGAAAACAAAAGAATATATGAACAAATATCCAACAAAACGGAAGCAAATTTCGGAATTTTTCAAGAAATTTATGAAACAAAAAGCTAAAAATACAATGGAATTTCATAAGTTATGCGAAACATACTTCATTTAAATTTTGTGTTTCAGTGTTTGTCTAACTCTTTTTATGTCTACACTTGTATAAAAACAAAAAGCCAATCTGATTTAATTGAGTTTTTAAGCACATTGAACACCCAATGAAAAGTCGTAAAATCAGAAATCTCTTACGATTCTAACCCACAAACATGTACGATGATTATTATGCAGCATTCTTCATGTATGAAATACGATCGTAATTCATGCGGCAGATATCAGACCGTAAGATATATATTCTAAGAAAAAGATTCCATTAAATAACAACAATGTTAGTATTGATCTTCTCGAGTTTTTCATTCTGTAAATTTAGTATTTGAATTTTCAAAACAGACATTTTTAGTGTAGAATAAACCATATTTCAAAAGATACGAAAATAAACTTGATTCATCGTGTACAATTTTTCAACAAGAAATCAGATATAAATTAATCATTTTACCTTTGGAATACAAGTAGCAAAAAAGCGAAAGAAAATTACAAGATGACAATAAATTAATCTCTACTATAACTTATGATTCATAACGAGGAAACGAAGAAGTAAAAAATATAGCATGCCTCAATCATCACGGAAGAGTATCACACTTATATGGTTCTAACCTATATATTTATCTGATTGATCATTTGCTCTTTTTTAACAACCCAATGTATGACAAAGAGCATTAGAAACACTTCTATCGACTATCATTGAATTCCTAAAACAAAAAAGTGATCAGTTGGATAAAAATACCGGTTAGAACTATAGATGTGATACTCTCGTTTGTGAAAGAATAGACGGATCTTTCATATCAGATCTTTTGCATGTTTATACTTCTTTTATGAAAAATTGATCGCTGTTAAAAATCTTATAAAAGTGAAAAAATGATACATCTCATATACGGAGGGAACCTAAAAATGAAAAAAGTTTGATCTTCTCTTTCTTTTTCAGATCTAAACGAGGTCAACTAAGGCATCGCTATTTGAGATATTCACCAAGATATCTACAAGATAGAATGTTTTTAAATTCATTCTCAGAGGTACGCCTAAGTATGTTTTTTGTCCGCCTTAAAAGTATTATTCAAAA